GCAGAGAAGATCAGTTTTCCTCCGTTTCGATTACGTTTGTTATAATGTGTGCAATAGAATAGAACAAATGAAACAGGTAAGTTCTGAGCTTTCTATACCCAGTTAGAATTTTTTCAGATAGTACTTGGGAGATAGTTCAGTTTGTGCTGGTGTAGTTAAATTTTTTCATAATTTCCGTCATCCGATCTTCTATAGAGATAGTATATTCTTATAGCTTATCATAGTATCGATACTTATAGATTTTTGAAAACTTTGCGAAATAAATTTTACAAATTGAAGAGGTATCTTTTTCTCTTGACGTCCATCCTCTCCATTTCCTAAAATTTCAGATTAGCCTAGGAGCTGAGAGGAAATCAATTATAAGAGTTGGTGATATTTCCGAAAATAATTTTGAGTATTAACTAGAAGTTTGTTATTATTAAAAAATATTGGAAATGAAATGACGGGCCATTAGGTTGTCACATACGGTTGATAATCCGAAACATGATCTTTCCTTTTAATTGAATTTGTGGGACCTTTTCCCTCCAGAGCGGTTGTTTGATATGACTGGCAGAATTCTAGATGTCTCTGTGCTGAATTAAAAATGGCAGCCATAAGGGATAAGACTTGATAGTAACGTCTTTAATTTTTCAAAGAAAAAATTCAAATTTCTTGTCATTTTAGATATTTAACTATTACATTGTAATTATTTGAGTGTTTTTAAGGGGATCAACGTCCATGGCAAGAGATTCTCGGTTAGTATTCTTATATATTTTCTCTTATGTTTATCACTATCTAAAACAAAGAATGAACGTATATTATATAAAACACGTTGTTTTAAATTGATTTTATATTATAAAACTCGCTAAATCATTCGTCAATATCTTTTGAAAAATAATATTGTGATGGAAAATTTTGAATCTTAAAGCATCAAGCATGTTTTAAGAATCAAATCAACAGTATACAAAGCATTCAACCTGTAATATTGTAAAAAGCTGGTTTCATAAGGCAAAACATGCTGACAGCCAAATGTGATTGTTTTGACAATTCTGATGGGATTCTCTATGGCACAAATGCTGCTATGAATGAGACATTTGGGATCTTGTCAGAGCTGTAGAACATATCTATACGAACAAAAATGTCAAAGGAACCGTACCTCTACCGGCAACCCTTCTCCAGATAAAGCCCCCCGAAATTGGGTTGTGCAAGATTGTGAGTTATGTTGCTTCGCTAAGACTATCGTGTTTAACTATTTAGCCCTGATGACTTTGCCGATGAACAGTAGCATACTTGACTGTTCTTGGAGTACTTGATGTTATATAGTTTTATGGGGTGCGAGGTTTGCCCCCATCTGGGCGCTGAGGTGTGAGTGATAGAGAGCACTGAAGTGCACGACAATGCGGAGAATGGAGAATAGGCAGTATACTGATACATTTTAAAAACTGACCTTTTTTTAGAGGCGAATATCTTGCAAAGGGTTTTATGTACTGTACAGGTATGGTTTCTTTCACTTTTTTGCTCATATAGGTATGCTCTACAGCTCCAATAAGATCCCAAATGTTTCAATCATTGTATTGAGCAATACCGGATAGGTTGATTTTGAGGGAGGGAAGCTATATTTCACAGAGTCACATATAGTGGTTTACGATTCTTTGGAGGTACAAAATCTCTTATTCAGAGCTCGAATCTTATCTCTGTATCTTGAAAATGCTCAAAAATGGGGAAAAATTTGAGTAAAAATTTCTGGAATTATTTCTCAAAACAATGAATGTGTGTTTAATAAGGCTGATTTTGGTGGCCATGTCTCGTGTTATGTGTATACCATCAGTTGTTTTGACTTTTTACTTCTGTATTTATGGTCTACAGCTCCGATAAAGTCCCAACCACTTCCATTTGTACTGTCTCCAGTGCTGGGTATCCATCTTTTTTCTGAGAACTGCCGTTTTAGTTGTAAAAGATAAGTCTGGCGGCAGGTAGAAAAAATAAAATTTTTTTTTTATTTCTGAGTAACAAAGGACATAAATCAATGTGAAATTTGCAATTTACTATACTATTATAGAAGTAGTATAGCATTGCTTTCTCTCTAAATTTTGTTTTTAAAAGAGAAATACATGATATTAATTTGCAAAACACATAAGAATTATTTGGTGCCAACCCATATAAAAAATGCTATAAACAAAAACTGATAGGACTACTTATAGACACTGCACTGTTTGGGTGCCATTTCTTTAGCTCATTTTCGTTGTGGAGTATCACATTGGATGGCAGATGCGTACAAAACGTGTCACATGACCTCACTTTGAAGTCAGTAGGTCGTGTGACTACCTCAAAATGTCACTCACCTCATCCATGTGACATCTCTGACTTATTTCCTGGGTATTTTTTAGGCTCTGAACAGACTACAGACTGCAGCTTGATAAACATTGTATTTGTTATGTTTTCAGTCATACCATAGCATTCTATAACGGAACTCATTGACTTAAGATATAGTAATGGTGTTTTATTTTTCAATATTAACCCTTAACTGGTTTTATGGGGGCCGCGCGGCCCCCACGTGTCATATTTTTACAATTTTCTAAAAATCTAAATATCGTGCGCAGCTGCCATTTTATGTAATCTCATTACGTCGTGACTCTTAGCTAGTGCCAAATGTTCGGCCCTGTAGCACTTACAAGGATGGAGCTACGTACCTTCTGGGGGCCGCGCAGCCCCCACGATACCAGTTACGTTGGTTTTTTGTGGAAATGTGTTTTTATATTTTTTTTATTTTTACAATTATTTAGCAAAGATATCTCAATCTTTCATCAAAAATTCAAAATGACTACCAAAGAATCATTTGAACTGCTAATAGAAGATAATATTATACAAATTGCTAGATCAAGCCGAAATCTCCTGAAAAGAGTATGTTGTCATTTTGTGCTGGAAAAAAAGATGGTAAATATGCTACTAAGTGCAACAGTTGTTTGAAATTTATTTGCAAAGTGCATAGTACTACAAAAATACTATGTGATAACTGTCAAGACTGAACTACGTAATTGCGTTAAAATGATCCTGAGTGTTAAAAATAGAAGTGATTATATTATCTGTGGTTTTTTAACAAATGATAGTTAGAGGCTATAAGAGATACTTTTTTATAAGATTAGTTTCTTAAGAATAAGAAAACAAAATATCTTTGGTAAAAACTTACAATAGGGTAGATTTTTGTATTGTTAAAAAAAGCATACACCAAAAGTTGTAACAATTTTGTGATTTCTTGTAATAATTAAGTAAAGAAAATTATATAAATAAATAAAAGTTGATTATACTAAAGAAGGGTTCCATTTAGCATTTATGCTCTTTTAAACTGTCACATTGTTAAACTTGCTCTCTAAAGGCAAATTTTGCTTGGGGGCTGCGCAGCCCCCATGATACCAGTTATGATTGTAAAATTTACGAAACCAGTTAAGGGTTAATTCCATAAAAAACAAGAAATAAATTGTCAAATTACTTTAAAATTCAGATTAAATACTTATAATCCTAAATAAATAAATATAGATTTGTTCTCTAAATTTACAAATGTGTGTGTTTTATGTAACAAATTGTTTTATTTTAAAATTTGAACTAAAGTAACATAATAATATATATAAGACTTTTTCATTTGGAAATAATAAAATGTTTTATTGATGTAACAATAGATTTAATGTGTGTTAGAGCATTGCTTCTAAAACTTTTTGTGTTCCTGGGCTAGTATTTTTGTGAAATTAAATAAAAATAATTATAAAATGGACCAGCACTGTTATAGCACAGATGCAAAGTTCAATTGGTCATAGACAAAGGGAATTGGTATCAAGTTAGTCCTGGAACTTTGTTTTTAATTTTTTTATGAATCATTAGTGTCAATAGTCTGTTAAAATAATGAGGTGTTTATGCTCTGCCCCACTCTATCATTAAATAATATACAGTTAATTTTGGTACTTTCATAATATGAAAGAATCAAGTTAAAACAAGAAAGGAACTATAGAATGAATAAAATGAACCTACATAGGTATTGTTCAACAGAATTATGTTACAGAACCCTTATAATTCAAACATTATGTTATTTGTGTATTTATTCAAAAATTTTAATTAAATAATACAAGACTAAAATGAAGAATAGGATTCATTAGAGAAAAACATATACAATAATAAAATTTAATATTTCTTGTTCTAAATATTTTCTCCTTTTTAAAGAGTAATTTTCTAGGAAAGTTTTAAGGCTGCTACACAAGTAATTTCATAATTTATCCGTTGACAAAAACTTTTCCTAACCCAGGGGTGGCCAACAGTTTTTGCCCCTGGGCCAAATTGAAAAAAATCTTTTTTTATGGGCCGAACCAGAGCCTGAAAATTTTGAGGTGATGCGAGATCTCATTGTAGTGTCAGCTGGTAAGACTAAATTGTACATAGAGATTACAGATACATTTTTCACATTATTGTGCTTTGTTAACTATAACCAGACAGCGAGTTGTTGACCCTTTTTTTTTTTTTTTAGGCGTTAGAATTTTTCATTGATATATTTTGACTTGAGTAGCTAATATTAAAAGATTAATCGTGGGCCGTATGCTGGCCGTGCCTGTCCTTTCCTGTTACTGGTGCATTCTCCTTCTTCTATAAAATCATAACCAATAAAAAATAGCTCTTTACTAATGTTTTCGAACCTGAATGACGGTTCTTCTTCAGGTATTTTTGAATCTCTGATGGAAATGCAGCTCATAAAACATCAAATTCAAAAATATGTACATTTGAATGCACGCTTCCCGTTTACGTCTTTGTTTGTCATGTGCAGTCAATTCCAATACAGCTATCATAAATTACTGTTCATAAGCGCCTGCCACGCTACTGATAGCGTAATCTCTTCTTTATGTGGTACTTTTGAAACCGTGCTTGTAGTTATTAGTAGTAATTCAAACACAAATAATTATCGTATTTATCTTCAGGCACTTGGCAATACTTATCATCAAGTTTTATTCAGTTGATACGTGTTGTTATTACACACGTTTCGGGCATTTATTGCCCCTCTTCANATCAAGTTAGTCCTGGAACTTTGTTTTTAATTTTTTTATGAATCATTAGTGTCAATAGTCTGTTAAAATAATGAGGTGTTTATGCTCTGCCCCACTCTATCATTAAATAATATACAGTTAATTTTGGTACTTTCATAATATGAAAGAATCAAGTTAAAACAAGAAAGGAACTATAGAATGAATAAAATGAACCTACATAGGTATTGTTCAACAGAATTATGTTACAGAACCCTTATAATTCAAACATTATGTTATTTGTGTATTTATTCAAAAATTTTAATTAAATAATACATGTTAACGCTCTGTCCCCACTTTATCATCAAATAATATACAATTAATTTTGGTACTTTCACAATATGAAAAACCACAGATAATATTCCAAAGAATTTCACTTATTCCACTGATAAAGCACAAGAAATGGAAGTTCAGAATGAATAAAATGAAACTACAGACACAACAAACTTACCTTACTAAACCCTCTCCCTTGTAGGTCAAAAGTGTAAAATACAATGATAGTAATAAAACCTAATAGTCACATTTAACTTTGGCCTTCTTAGTCCTCACAGAGCAGCAGAAGGGTCATAAATAAATATATATATATATAGAGCGTCATTTATCCATTTATCCGGAAGCCAGTTATCCAAAACTGTTATCCAAAAGCATTCCAGTTGGCAAATTTAAATTTTTGCTAGTACTGTGACGCTGCAATCTTG